CAGGGGCGAGAGCGAGCCGCCGGCTGCGCTCAGCTCCGGGCCCCGCGGCTAGGCCGCGCGCCGCCCAAACCGGCCTCTGCCCCGCGGGTTAGCAACGTGCGACCTCGCTTGCCGAGCTGGCAGCCCCCCCGCTCCCCGTCACCGGTTTTGGAGGAATTTGTGCTGCAAATGTTGGAAGTTTCCAAAAAAAAAAAAAAAAAATCCAAGGTTGGAAATTGTTTGTTCAGAGGGCTAGGAATTTCTCCAGACCTGCTTTGTTTGCTGAGAGCTCGATCCTTGGGAATGTAAGCAAGTTTTGTATGTAATTCAAAGAAAACCAATTGTTTAAACAATGATAATAGCCTTTGTTTTGTTTTACGCCGAAGAAATGAGCGGCAATTTGTCTAAAAATATACGCCTAAAACTAGGGGGGGAAATAAATAGTACAAACCAGGACCCCCTGTTTATAGCTCGCGCTGGCACTGAATAGGCGAGGAGAAAATTTAACAAGCGGGAACTGCGCATTATGTTTAGCAAATCTGGGTGGAGGTCAGCAAAGAGAAAGAATACGCTCTTCAGTAATGGCTGTTACCGAGCGAGTCACAATAAATCACGCTGGCATAATCCGAGCTGATGTTTGGACCCTTGTGCGTGGAGACGGTGTATCGAGCGGGTCAGCCTTGCAAGGCCCTTTCGATCACGCCAGCTGCTTCGCTCCGTTCCTATTTTCGTAGCGTTAAAACACGTCCCGGTCTTTATTCCACGACCGTTTTTTGAATTTAGTCTTGTTACGGGGGCACACAAAAGACAAACGCCAAATTATCAGCGCAGACGGCCACCCCCCCTCCCCCCCGGCCTCTGTTCAGAGCCGTGCCTCTAAGCCAAAGAGTTAATTTAACTTCAAGCCAGAAGTTAATTACCGCTGGGTGCCCATTTTTTTCTCGCTGGCCGTCCAGCAGATTTCATTACGCTAGGTGTTACCTAATTAACAGGGACAAATGCCACAGACGGGCCAGGTCTGCCGCTGGCGGGAAGTGTCAGGTCTCGATGACCGCCTGTGGCACCTTGGCCCACTGCAGATTTACACTAGCTGATACCTGGCTCTGGCGTCTCCGTGCTTCTTTTCTTTTCTTTTCTCTTTTTTTTTTTTAAATAGGGGGGTAAGGAGGCTAAAACGCAGTCAAACTGCAGCCTGATTTCAGTCTGACACCTCGGCTAAATAAATCTGAAATAGTTCTGTGTAACAACCCATACCAACTCTACTGGCCATAACTATAAATCAGGCATGACTGCGTTCATACAGTTGGAAATATGTAGGTGAGAAGGGAAAATGTTTTGAAAATGCTAAACATGTTTGGATTTCCCTGAAGTTTCTGATAAAATTCCTGCAGCAGAAAAGTCATTCTACCTTCAAAACTTGCCAAAAAAAAAAAAAAGTTTGTTTAGATACAGGAACGGACAAAAGCTATGGAAATAAAATATATCAAGATTTATATCAGACTGCATAAAAAAGAAAGAAAGAATTAACAGAATGAATTGACTGACAGCACCTTACTTGCAAAGAAAGAAAAAGAAGCGCATGTGTTAAGACCAACCTCTTTTTACCTGATCCACATGAAACTTGTCTCGATTTGAAGAGCACGGTTTTGACGTGGCATGTATATATATTTATTAATAAGATCAAACATTCTGTCTTAATGGGAATTGGATTTTTAAGATTAACAAGTATATCCATATGCTTCAGCCGGTATTACATTTGGCCATGTTTTTCACCGAGCAGTTAATAATGACTTAGTGATTCAAGATTAAAATGAATGCCTTTCGTCTAGAGCGCTTTTTGAGCTGCAGCGTAAAATGACAGTTTGCTGCTAAAGAAACTCGAGCAGATAAAATTCAAGAAACGTGGTTATTACTCTGGAATATTCTTCATTCTTAAAACGTTTTTATCAGTTTCCCAAGTGGCAGTCAGCTCTGCGGTATCAAAGGTGACTGAGTGTGTCTAACAACCGAGCAGTAAATGATTCAAGAGGAAGGGCATAGTACCCTTAAGTCAGTAATTTCGGTTATAGGTGCTTTATAGTCAGAGTGAGCTTAATGCAATTCTCTACAACTGACTTCTCCATGTAAACTTGTTCAGCTGCCAGAGACCGAGCCAGCGACTGATTTTTTTATATTTTTTTGACAATGCAATACTTTGAAAAATAATAGATTTATGATGTAGCTGGAATTCTTTGCTGGTGATGAACGTAAAAGAGATCACTTGTTACAGGAACTTTTATAACCCATTCACCTTCATTTCACATGTTTATGAGGACTGCCTTCACTTATGATATACAGCTTGCAGTCATAAAGCCCTGGGTTATATGGTTATTTCTGATACAGGGTTGCTTCACCTTGGCTCCAAACTCCACGGAAGAGTGTCATAAATGGCTTGTTTGCGAGGTGGACCTTGCTGTCGCACACCAGCTTTTCTGACGGCCGAGAGAAAGCTCTGCTCTGTAAAACCCGTTCCTGGGGCATGTTGGTTTTCGCACGATGATAAAAATGTGCGACGATTTAAAAAAAAAAAAAAAAAGTCCTTTTACAAAGATGACGCTGTTTTACCCGCTCTCTCCCCAGAAAGCCGTCCTCGGCCCCCTCGGGCTTGTCCAAACAAAAGGTCGCTGCTCGCGGCCCCCGAGGTGCAGCTCGGCTCGGGGGCACGGAGCTGCCTTTGGCCGGACACAGACTCCCTGACCCCCTGCAAAGGCCATTTTTCACATCTGGGTGCCCGCGAGGGAAGGTGATTAAAGCGGTCGATTTTGCAGATGAGCCAGGAGCGCTGATATCAGAGCCTGTGCGGGGAGGGGGAGAGGGCTTTAACAAGTCTAGAGGAGGAGCACGGAGATAATCTGCCTTCTTGCCAGCCTGACGGCATCGTAGTGAGGCTATGTCATAGCGGAGAGCGAGCTGATGCCCGCTGCTCTCACAGAGCCGCTTTACATCAGTTTTCCCGTCTCTGAAATCAGGAGAGTAAGTTTTCAGTTGGGGGGGACATCGCTGAGAAATACTATCCTCCCCCCCCC